CAAGGTGATAATAATGCTGGGTATGTTCTTCCGTCCCGAAAGAGCTTAGAGGGTCCGAGATAAATATACCTTAACCCCCCCCCCCCCCCCACACACACACACTGTTCTGCTTAACTGCTTGAAACGAAAAGCTCAACAAACACCATAATAATTTGAGGCACTTTTTCACAGGACCTTCAGCTCAAATTGGCCCATTCCTCTTATCTAGTGCGCGTTAGTGTTTGTCTACATTAGGATATGAGTTTTCCGCAGGGCGTTAGCCTTTAAGATTATTGACCCAGGAGGCATTAGAGCAGGACGAAGCTAGATGAGGTTCAATGGCCTATCATTTCTATTTCTTCAAACACGCACGCATCCATCAGTCAGGTTTGGGGTGCACGAACGTAACAAGACTCCCTCCGACTGAGGAGTTCCCGTGGTTGTCGTTTTCCTCGAAGTATTAGTTATTCTTCCGCTCTGTTTATCTGGTTTTCCTACGAGGAAGTGGGTTTGGCTTCCCCTACAGATGCGCTTTACGTGTGGCGCGCTTACGTCACTCCTTGTGTATACGAGAGAAGCATGTCGCTTGTGCGGAACTGTAACATGTCATCTTTATGCATAAGCTGTTTCAGTCGGCATCAGCGAAAGCGTCAACAGGTTTCGAACGAAAGCTTCCATTTCCCAGGTGGGAAGCATGCCATGAATAAGAGAACTGTCATAAAACTGTCCTCCGTGAAATTTCTATCTATATCGTTGAAACGCCTCATGCTCGAGCTATACAGTTTTTTTTATATTGGTTATTGTGTTTTTTTTTGTTTTCTTTTGGATTTCTTGATGGTTCATGTGTGCGTGTACGTGAAGAAAGGGGGGGTACGTGAAGGGTACGTGAAGCAGGGTGGGGGGGGGGGGGGGTCCACGTTTTTCTTATTGAAATACTATTCGTTAGGAAACGTGGATGCATTTACATACCTTATAACCGTGTCTTTAAGTTGAGACCTCAAAGGCCTGGAAATTACTACCTGGAGTGGGGCTCAAGGTAATTTTTTATCACTTTCCCTTTTTTTCTGTGATACTTAAATGCTCCTCTGCGAACTGTATTGCCTCCTCGTTTTGTTGGCAGTCGCTGTTCTTTGTCTCAAACTTTTAAAAGACGAAGACCCTTAAATCAGCAAACTGTTTTGTGATGTTGCCAATACGTCATTGCAGTTGAGTATGACGAACGTGTTGTTAGTATCGGAATAATGGACGTGCAAAAGCGGCTGTAGCCCTATGAAATGCATTTGATGGAGCACCTGGCTTTAAAGGCTGCTGCTACACGTTGCCGGGCACCCGCTCATTTTAGCTCTGCTCTGAAAAAGAAGTCTGCCAGCACAGCACAGAAAATCGAGAAATTTATTCAGTGTGTTTACTTCGCGGATGTGTTTCCTCTGTCTGTGTGGAAAAGTACACGCCCTTTTCTATTGTATGGTACACTGACGAAGCTAGTGACACCGACAGCGCTCTGGCGTGCGCTGCAACGGTCCACCAAGCACGTGCGACGCAGTTGGCCCCCGGAGAACGGCTACGTGCACTCGCATTGCTTACGCAATGTGAGCGTAAACAATGTGAGTAGCAGCCGCGACACACTAGTGACGCTGTACATACAAGTTCACAGATTTACTTGTACAACTGAACGGTTAACACAAGCACCTCGAGTGCCACACCACAGAAAGTGGTGCGTGAAATACACCACACCTGTAGGATTTATGAGCGGCAAGCGAGGCCGTTTGGGTTAATGACAGAATCACGGAACACTTAAATCACCTGAATAAGCCGCAGTGCATTTCTTCGCACAATGAAAAGCCACTGTTCCAATATATATATATATATATATATATATATATATATATATATATATATATATATATATATATATATATAAAATCAATGCGTCAATATTGGACACGAACAGCCGATAACTACGGGAACTACTTTGTATCAAAAAAACAAGTAATTGACGTGTATATTACGTTCTCTCTTGAAGCTTAAATTCCTATTAGTTTATTTCGTATGTCTTCACGAAACGACACAGTCATTTCATTAATGGGACAACCACGAACTCATATATGCGTCTTATTCGTCAGGTGATAAATATTTTAATTGGCTTCGCTAAGATCTGTTTCACCACCTTCTCCTGTATGCATGTGGCAAACTGATTGCATATGTAACTTTTTTTTGTTCGAATGACATGCGCGTACTTTGGTACGCGGTTTTTTATGCGAAGTTTCAAGTTTCGATGAAAATTTTTTTTCTTTCCAACCACCCGTAATCGCACCTTGTAGTATACAAAGCGTGTAGGGCTGTTTTTTCGAGACGTCATCCCTCGGGCGACACGCATTCATTGGAAGAAGCACGGCCCCCGTAATTACACGCGATCGGGTTGGCGTGTATCCTCTGCGGACGCCCCATCGTCGCCAACGAATGCTGCCCGCGGAACATGTGATCATTGCCGGTGAGCGGAAACATCGCTATGTCGCTGCAGCAGCCGTGCGTTAGAGTCGGGGTAATATGAACGATTTCTGTCGGCGCGTTTCAGTTAGTTCGTTCTTTACGGTGTCTTAGATATGTTTCGAAACCAAATGTGTGGTGCTTTCCGAGTCTGCTGGTTTATGTAAAAGTAGCTGATTCAGCCGAGTGAACAGTTCGGCTTCGAGATTTTCGTTCACTACAGGCCACGTTGCGGCATGCACTTGTTGCGTCTTCGCTAGCAAGGACATTGGCTGGACAAGTGCATTGCAAAGTTAGTGGGAGTACTTAACTTTGATGTCACTAAAATCTTGCTGGCACGCATGTGCAGTTTTTCGCTTTATATTGTATAAATCACCGCCCATATACATGGTCTCAAATTACACTGACTGCGACGACCCATGTTAGAGTTAACGCGTTCATTACTGTCTACCACTTTCATGTAACTACCAAATCTTCTACTGATATCTCGAGCGGCGGAAAATCAGTACTCCCTCCTCTATATAGTTGATCACTGCGTTACTCGCATCCTTTCCTACGTGTAACAATCGGTCGACACTACGCGCTCATTTTTTTTCCCTTCTCTCCCTTCGCGGTGACGCCACAGACATCCCAGGTAGGTCACCGACGGCACTTCCGATATCGATTGCGGCGTGGAGAAAGCTTCCATTGTCTGTTGTATTTGTAACTGGCACAACACTTGGGTATCTCCTTCACCGAGCCCATGCCTTTGTAAACGCGTGCGTCCTATCGGGGAGGCGACGTGCGCGTCTCCTTCTCCGACTTTTGCCGCATAGCTACGGCTCCGAGATAAGAACGTAAGACGGGCAATTTTAAGCTGCCAGAGAGAGTCAGATGCGTTGAGGCGACCGTTCATGTAAGTAGTTCGGCCGGGATTCTGAGCAACGTGTTTTAATGTGACATGCGCGTGCGATAGGAATGTCCCTGGATCGAGCAGAGTTACGCTGACTCAAACATCAATAATTTTGGGGGTTTAGCGTCCCTAAAGCACGATATGATTACGAGAGACACCTTGATGGAGGACTTTGTAAATTTCGACTATCTAGGGCTCTTTAACGTGCGCTTAAACTGAAGCAAATGGGCCTCCAGCATTTTGCCACCACAGTTGAGATTCAACCCCTCGACCTTCGGGCCAGTGCTCGAGCACTGTAACCAGTAGTCCACCGCGACGGGTGACAGACTTTGTTAACCATTCCAACTGGAACATGGATCCCTTGTGCCTCGTTATTCGCACGCTCTCTTTCAATGTTCACTAAAACTTAATCATTGAACCTTGCATATTGGTCTTCATTCGAGCTACATTGAGGGAGTAAAAGGGCTCGCGGCTTCCAGTCGTCACTGGTTTCGATAATTCTGAAACCGAACGTGTGACTACAGCCATGCATCAGCATCCCTTCAAGGCTCCGAACGTAGGATAACCTGCCTATACTTTGATAATGCAAATATTTGCGCCCATTCTAACTGTCGCACAAAGATCGTACGTTAGTGTTATTTTGAATGCAAAATAACTATGATTGCTATGACTGCTCAATTATGTTTATCTTGCTGAAGTAACCTTGAATGTCAAAAGGGCTGATAAGCTTCGCCACTGATTATATCTCTACACAACTTTATGAGCCGTAATGCAGTGTTGCATCATAACCGCGATTGAGAAATCCTTGGCGGCACTCGCAGTAGCGCTTATGCACGACCATTCAAGAGACTCAGATGCAGTGTATACGCTAATATGTGGCAGTTACGATGCGGTATCGATCCCTGACCCAGGTGCCCATTGTCTCAGGAAGTAGTAAACGTATCGGTGCGTGGCTATTATAGCTTCAAACCTAACTTCTCGCCTATACATTTATATATAGCAGAATGAGAAGATGGTTAGAGCAGTGCTTCTAAGTTGAAAATTAGGTACATCTATGGTGATATCAGAACTAAATCTTGTGAAAGAAACCATTGCGAAATTGCACAAATCGCATACCTAAAAGAAATCGATTGCCTTGCAAGCATTTTCTCATAAGTAGGACGTTGATACCTAATGTCACATCTAAATCATTAAAGGTGAACCGATGCACTAACAGCAGCCGGTCTTTTTCGATTACAACATGCTTATGAAATAACACCTTAATGGCACTTCTCGGGCAAGTTGTTGCGATTTACTAAGTTTCCTTTTTGGGTGCTAAATCAACGCACACAGAGAGAAAAGAACATACAGACACGCAGAGTCTGTGCGCTTACATGTTTCGCTCGGCGTCTGTTGCTTTAGCGCGTAGAAATCATGTTTACTTGCGAAAGTGTGTTAATATATAGGCGAAATAATCAAACAGTTGCCCTTCTATTTCTGGCTCTGTGTATTTTTCAGGTAAATATATGGGTTTACAAATAAGTATATCTAAAATGGGAGCTATAGAGAACGAAAGTGGCAGATATTGGAAGCGGAAAACTATATAGTGTGGTAGTAGTAGCGGAACGCTTTTGTAATCACCTTGTATATTTCCTTGCAGATCTCATTTGGCCCGGATTAATCGAGTGGTTCACTGAGGATGACCGCTGTGCGGCTACAACTCGGGCGGTGCTTGTTCCTACTGCTGCCAACACTGCTACTACTGGCGTTGCCTGCTGTCCCGAAAGGGGAAGCAGCGCCGATTGTAACGTCGAACTGCAGCGAGACGTTCCTGCGCTACAGCCAGAACCACACCATGTGCCGAGAGGAGCCAGAGTGCGAGATCCAGGTTGCGGGCATCGACGACAACGTCAAGCAGCTCATCCTTAAACTGCACAATCACTACCGTAGCCTCATCGCCGGAGGAAACGAGACGCACATGCCTCCGGCAGCCAACATGCTCGAAATGGTAAACACTTGCCTACTACGGTAAAATGAGAAACTATTTCGACAAAATCCGTCTGTTTTGTGCTGGTAATGTTTAGCATTTTTCACAGACCCAAACAACTTAATGGTTATAGCTAAATGTCGTCTTATATGAATTAACTTCGTTGGCCCAGGGGATAGAGCGTAACACCTTTTGCCACGTATGGCAGTAGGTTCACCTTGTGCAATCGTTCATAAAAAGGAGTGTGCGAACACCACGTTTCTGGGAGCGTGTCGAATGGCTGCAGGTAACCTCTAGTAGTTCTGGGGGTCAACAGAGGATGAACAGATCAGTTCCTACTCGCTTGCTCGGCGCACTATATAGCTGTCTACTCGTAGCTTCCGGTTGGCCTCCATTATCTTGCCGAGGGTAGCGGCCGACCCCGAGCCCACATTTGGCACCCAATGTGGGCATCCAAGTGGTGTGGCCATGCTATTTTGTAACGTTGAATTCTATTTCTTGAAGCTAACGAATTTTGGGTCACACAGATTATGCAAATAAGAGATCCACGGTCATGAAGGATACGTCCTTACCGGTAGACTTTTTGGTTATAGAGTGCGTAAAACCCCCCCCGTAGACACGCAGTGGTCCTGAAGATGACAGCTCGTGCGTTGTGTACGGATATCGCCTTCGCGCAGCTATGCAACCACAGCGCAGTGATTGCGAACAGAGGGCAACAAGGATGAAAAGATAGTGACCGACAACAATTTTCACGAGATGCTTCCGTCAGTTGTCCGTACTCTCCTCCATCAGCCGTCTTGACACTCTTAACGAGTCTGTACGCGCTTTTTGTTCAATCAGAGCCGCATTCGCTCCTTACGACGTGGGTCGTATGTCCCGTGTCGTCGAAGTAGCCACCTCTCGTTTAGTCCTTAAAATGTCCGCTGGATGGTGGCACTTGTGTATGATGAATATATAATGAAAGATGCGAGATGGCGGTACTTGGAGTGTTCACTAGATGGATCGATCGTCGTTTTGCCCAACTCCTAATTACTCACTCCATGGACATGCTGTGATTTTTTTTCCTCGGTCCCGCGAAATTCCTGCACCTTCCTAGCTGCATCTTTTTTATAAATATGTCATTTCGGTATGTTCCCCGCAAAGCTTATTGTTTCTAACTATGCAATTTTGACAGGACAAAGCTCGCAAGCATATTCCATCAAACTTCTGCATCTATAGCATTGTCGCTCGCATCTGAACCAGTGATTAGGGGACCAAATGGGCTTTTCAACAACACGGCGAGCCGCAATTACAGAGTCGAAGAATTGCGAAAGGGGCAATAGTCATAGCGCAAGCTTTTGACCACTTGCCTTATAGCAAAATCCGCACACCAGCAGGCGTGAGTGTCGTAAAATGCACACATGCCGGTGTACGGGAAGGATACCGAGCGTGACATGCAGCCTGCAATTCGATTTCCTTGTTAGGCATTTCGCGAGTCGGGACAATGCACGCTGTGAGGTAAGATGACCTTGGCACCCCCTGTCTGTGTGTTCACAATGCCTCCGCCCCTGCGCACTTTCAGGGTGCCGACTAGGGCGTGAGCTTTTCTTTATTCGGTGGAGAAAATGGCGATTGCGGCATTTTCCTTCGTAGGATGATTACAAACGTCACCGTAAAAGCAGTTTGTGCTTGTATCCATGTTCGCTGGACAAGTTTTCGTTGTTTTATTGATGAAATTTGCGAGGAAGTGGCTACATGTAGGTAACATTTAGGAATCGCTTACTAATAAACGTTGTACCTCCACAATTGTTTATTACGTGTCCATATCGAGAAGATGTACAAAAAAGCGCTCTTCCCACTATCAGATATTTTCAATCAGTTTGCTTTAATCAATGTCTAGCTTTTAGGTTGTCGCTTAGAATGTAGTGATATGCTCAGCTTTTGACATGATTTTCTCATGGTGTTACTTTATTTTAATGTTACTGCGACGTGCTTTAATCAGCTGATTTGGTCAGGTTAGCCTTGGACACCAGTCCAACTGCATGTTACATGCGAGGGCTGCTCTCATTGCTTTCTAATATGATTGTCACAATAACATCAAATAGCCTGTGAGCGCCACGCGAACCATTTCTCGCTCACCACTTCAGTAAGGGCTACGTTCTGTTGATTATACAAATGAGAGAGATGGTTGTCGGAGTTCTTTCCGGAAGCGTCGCGTGGTCAGTGATAGCCTCGGAATGCAGGCGCTCGGGAAACTGAGAGCCTCAACTGCGTACTCGCACAAACGCTCGCGTTATCGCCCTGTGGGTCCGGAAAGTTTGCATAATGCTCTTGTCAAAGAGCACACACAGAGCCAGCGTATGAGTAGGCAAACATAACTTCTTTGTCTAAAGCAACCGGATGGGCTTTAGACAATCATGCGGACAAAGATTTTTAGCATTAGAAAGGAAGCCGAGTAGAAATACCGTATACTATACACCGCTATATATTGGTCAGGTGCATCGTGTTCACCCTTGAAAATAAAATGCTCATCTTATTCTCTATATAAGCGTACTCCAAGCAAGAATGGCAACAGCTCAAGAGTAATTGCCACTGCTAACTAATATTTTTGAGGAATATAGTTGCCGAGCGAGCATATATATATATACGACCATCGTAATTGTACGAGTTTTCCGTACAGAAACCAAGATATGCTCACGAGGGGCACCGTAGTAAAGGGCTCCAGAAATTCGGGCCATCTGGTATTCTTCAACGTGCGCCTCAATCTGATACACGGGCCTCAAGCATTTCGCATACATTGAAATGCAGCCGGCCCGTGTGGGATTCGTTACCGCGACCTACGGGGTCAGCAGTCGAACTCTGGACTGTAGTGGCGGGTATAGGCTTATCTAACTCTTTGCTGTTTCTCCTCTGCGTGTTATATGGGGTGGACAACTAAGCTTGAAGGAAGCCATTTCCCGAACTGCCATCGTAGGTGCACTACGGCCGACACTTCAAATTTTCAGTTCTATGTAGTCGTTTGACAACGCCGGACGATGGGCGTATGAATTCGAATACCTCACTGACGACGACAAAGTTCTGATCTTCGCTTTAATGCCGATGGGGCGTTATTTTTGGAATTGTACCACACTGTACACCAGTCTAAAAGTATCTGAAAGAATGGTAGGGGGGGTGTATGCGCATGCATAATTGCGTATGCTCCATAGATCTCGAGCGAGGTCTGTTGGTGAGGCCCACATTGTGCACGCTTTTGGAGGTAAAGAGCGTGACTCCATACCAAGAAGCGGGAATCCTTTGATTGGAGTTGACCTCGTGGGCTATGCAAGACTGCCAGGTAGTTCCCGGCACAGAAAGAAAAATGATAAAAAGCACGCCCATTTGGAGGTACGAGCCAACTTCGATGCCTGCTTCGGCGCGGTCGGCTGGCATGGCAAATACAAAGTGACGTTGAAAGAGGAGCCTGTCACGTCGCGCCTACACGGCGACGAAACGCAGAGGGGCGGTTCTGTCTAATGTGATTCTGTTGAATCCTCGGTCACGCGTTTAATGACCACGTCGGATGGTAAACAGTATTTTTCGAGTTTCCTCGTTGCTTCCTAAGGCGCGTTTCGAGTTCTGCAGACGGTCTGAAATTGTACATTGCGCGAAATCAACTCATACGTCTGTTCTGCTTATCAAGAAGTACATATTATGTTGAGTGTACCAAGGCTCCCTCGATTAGTGAAACAATTTTGCCTTTTTCTGTACTTAAATTATGCGTTGGCGCAGTGCTTGTCTTTTTTATGTTGCTCCTCCTTATTGTGGTTCTAATGGATACTGACAGTTGACTCTTGAACGTCAGCGATTTTCACGTGTAGACGAAATCAAGTTTTTCAGCTCGCCTGGTGTTTTTCTCACCCCATTTAACAGCACTTTCCCCATCTTCCTTATGTGTGCGCCTTCATTGGCTGCAAATATTTTGCTTCTAATACATTTGCCTTGTTCGATGCAGGAGTGGGACGATGACTTGGCGATGGTGGCCCAAGCACATGCTAACCTGTGCCAGTTCGAACACGACTGCCCGTCATGCCGATCACTGCGTAAGTGTGCGCAATGAGCATGCGAACTTACACCCATCGTTGCCTTTTTTCAGCAAGCAGTAAGATTCATTACGCTAGCCATTACACACCGTGTACTAAAATAATATTATTGGCACGATATAAGGACAGTGAGGGCGTGTAGAAGCAGGGAATATTTGTAACAAGCTAGCGTTCATGGTGTCTCACGCTGCTGCTCGACCTTTAGCTTAATATTGCCCTTCAAAATGGCGCAATAAGGAAAGTATAGGCAAACATTTCATTATTCACACTGTGTCGTGGAGAACTCTTCTCGCCGATTTGTCTTTCTGTCCCAGAGCTCAAGTGCAGCAACACGACGCCATTTCCTTTAGCGCACACTTACAATAACGTGTCTGCCCTATAACCTCTTATAACCTAACCGCGGTCCCTCTACGCTCTTGGCAGATGTTCTGTTGTACAGAATAAGAATCTCCTACATTAGTAAATTGAAGCATGCGCACAGAATGACGTCATGTTTCAAGTATTACCGGATGTGTCATTGCGCAGGAGCTAATCCTCGTCTATAGACGTCTATAGACGAGGATTAGCTCTTAGTTAACATTAAGAGCGCTGGTCATCTTTAACTGACTTCAGCCCTCTTCAGGCACCCATAAATCAGTCGACCAAAACTATTTTACTCCTCTTGAATTGTGATTCTATGCATTAATTAGGAAAATGCTGCTCATCGCATGCATGCACAGAAAAGATCTTTCTCATTTGTTGGTGCATCCTTCTAAGAAATTTCAGTGAAAAAACGTCATTTGAATAAACGCGATTGTAGCAGCCGGTTCTATACGGTTAACTGCCGAGACAAAGTTGAGAAATAGTGACTGAAAAGGAATTTTATCGCTAAGGTCACCACACCAAACGTGTCAATTCATACACGGCGAGCACACCTTATGCAAAATTATCGACTAAGGCTAAGGTTCCATGGAGGGCTATTCGGTATAGATACGTAATAACTTTCAGTAAAGCTCTATTTCAGGCAGCAATAATTTTGTTTCACCCTCCCTAAAAAACTCCGTGCTCTTACACTTGCAGAGAAGTTTACCGACGTCGGCCAAAACCTGTGCCTGGACAGGACCACAAGACACAATCCACAGCCGGACTGGGAAAGCTGCGTGCGGCGCTGGTACGACGAGGTGTCCCTCTTTTCCAACGCCTCACGCACACCATTCCAGTTTGACCTTCCCACGGGACATTTCACGCAGGTAGGCAGAAGCACACTCTAGCTCATGAGCATGTGCGCCATAGTTTCAATTTAGTGAATGGCGCAGCACCTATTTTCGCGCGGTGCACTCTAAAGACTTCTGTGTGCATTGTGTCGTGAATCAGTGCTTGGAGGTACGCTATACACTTCATCTATGAAAATACTTGTCTGTTAAATATTCCTAAGTAAGCTTTCGTTAATGTAAACAGGGGCTTAGGTGAGCCACTTAGACTTGAGCGTCGAGGAATCGCCCTAACTTGATGTTACAGAAGGGGGGAAGTGGTGATGGTATACATTTGTATACATGTATACATGTGTCGTTTACATGTGTCTGTATGTGTATACAGTATACATGTGTCGTTTCAGAGGAATCCGCGCCACCACTAGCCACGAGGTGGCGATCATTCGTCAGTAAGTCCGCGGAGCATGAAATATGCACATGCTCAGTGCAACTATAGCTGTAGTCAAATGACCAACAACGGGAACTCCCCAGTGCACGTTATATCACGTGGTCGTCATAGGTCAGTCTGCAAACACGGTTGAACAGGGCTCTGTTTTCATGAACGGGTTCACATTTTTGTCCATAGTGGAGCGCTGGCGCCATCTATCGATCGTTGAACATAAAGCAAAGTATAGCGCTTACAAACTCCAGCGCATCGAGGCGGTTGCGTTGCACCACTTGCGTGCTTGTAAGTTACAGCGAAAATAGCTACACCTATGCGTAAGTAAAGGCTGGGTAGCAAGTTGGGGCACGCAAGTCAGCAGGTGTAATCGGCAATCCAGTAACAAAAATGATTTTACCGATTACCTGTATCTATATAATGCATTTGTATTTCTTCTTAATTCTTATTTATATCGTTTCAGTAGTTTCTTAGCGTTTCGTGTATTATATAATGTATATGAAGGCGACTGGTACGTTAAAGCATTAAACTTCTTGCTTCTGACAAAAACAGAAAAACTACCATCGCATACATGATATTGCTTATTGTTAACGCGATAATTATTGTTACGTTCCTCTATGCTTTTTTGTTTCTATTCATGAATGCTTCGCTTTTATAGTGACAATGACTGCTTCTGAACTGGATTCTGTTACTTTCTCGACAAAAAACGTGTTTTTCTGCGAATTATTGTATATATAACGTGCTACTACTGTCTTTTTACTTGTTTTTTTTTGTTTATTTGCGGCCATTTTTTTTTCTTTTAAGCGTGACGATATGCTGCGTCCAGTAGTCGTAAGAATGACGGCACACCTGCTCGTTCTAGTGCCTTAACACCGCCATTTTTTACGTCGCAGATGGTGTGGGCGACCACGTGGAAGATTGGCTGCGGCTACACGCGCTATCCGTCCACCGAGCCGCCTTTCACCTACGACCTTCTCTACACCTGCGACTACGGCCCAGGGTCAGTGAATATAGACTTCGGTTTTTGTTTGTTTGTTTGCAATGTAGTAAGCCGAGAAATCAATATTTGAGTGCGCCTATACTCATATGAATGTTTAGAAACAAGGCACCGCGGGACCTATAGGAGGACCAAGGTTATTTCATTGGAATGTAACAATCCGCCACGATGGATCAGCGGCTAAGGGGCTGCTCACACGAAGGTCACGGATTCCATCCCGGCCGCGCCAGTCGCTTTTCGGTGGAGGCCCGTGCACTGTGTGATGTTGCTGCATGCTAAAAAGCGCAAGATAGTCGAAATTTCTGAATCCCTCCGTCTCTCATAATCATATCTTGGTTTTGGGACGTAAACCCGCAGATATCAATATTGAATTGGAACAAACTTCATACTTTTCTCTTTTTATCAGAGCGTCAGGCGCTAAGACCAAGCGATTTAAATGGGTGGTTAGGCGCACCATGTTTCTGAAGCTTCTCACAGCTCTTGCAATCAATATATGGTAGATTAATTATGCAGTCAAAGATATACGCAGGCAGAGCTAATGCAAATTTACCATTCAGTCAGTGGCGTGGACTGCATCAAAATCAGCTTTGTTTTCCGAACTTGGCTTTCTTCTTTTGCACTTTTAGTATGGTCATTGTCATGTTTACGAATACGCGCTTCAGGTGGTGTCCAAAATATGAAGCTCCCTGATTGTGGAGAGAAGCTGGTGTCAGCGGCACTGATAAGGTCCTCTAGTCCTGTATTTTATCGACATCGGTCAGCGCGTTTTCAGAACTGCGGCGTTGCCACTTAGCCATTCACTTAATCCCGCTAGAACTAAATAAATAACGCTTAGAACGAACGTAAGCGCATTATTAGTCTTCCAACGATCACGGGTGCCTTGTTTGTAAACAAGGGATGGGTCAATCAACGGGCAGCTGTAATCCTCCGACCGCGCAGTGAAGGCGTATACGAGCAGCATCCATTGCGGTTACATTGACAGGCAGTTGCTATGACGTTATACGCACTTCGGCTTCGAACATAGATGCAGCGCAAAAGAACACAGGAAGGCGAAAGGCACTAAGCAAGTCTTTCCGTTTTCTTTCATTCTTATTTCGCATACACGGTCGCACAAACTTGTATATAGCTTAAGTGGGTGTAAGCGTAAATCTGCTCTAGCTGCTTCACACGAAGTTTTGGTAACAAAAGATTTGTCTTGCAGTCAAGCTATATTATCACTTCGCTAAAAATTATTACCTTGCGCCCACGTTCCCACAGTCATGAATGAAATTTCATTAATACAATGTTTGTTATTGCGTAACAAGGAACTTGTAGCGCAAATATTTTCAAGCATGCTTAGAAATATGAAACGAGTGTTTGAAGTAGCCCAGGCAAATATTTCTTATGCGAGAGGACAATCTGAGAGGACCTGAACACATGTTTCCTGTCAGAGCTATATAGCGATTGTACATAGATGTATTTCTAATGGATGTATATCATTAGCGGCTTTATTTGAGAAGAACACTAGTTAGCTTGATTGATGTAGCGAACATCGATAAATGTCTTCGTTGTGAACAAGCTGCTCCGATATGCTCAACAGGGTTGGCTCAACACATATGACTATATGCGTTGAGCCATGTAGACTATATGTGTTGAACTATATAGGAAAATGTGCTTGCTGGGAAAAAATATGTTTTCGTAAACATAAAAACGAAATCGAAACCTTGCTCGACACCGCCATTCATGTTTCGGCGCTGATAAAATTGAAAGAAGCTTGGGATCCGTATTTTATTGCGTAACAATAGCTGATATTACTATGTTTTTATTGTATATAATTGATAGCCTCACTTCAATATTGAGCAATGGCTTTGTAGTTTGTCTTACGCTCGGTTTTCGCCTGTTGTGTTTTCTGCAGGGGAAACATTGTGGGTGGCGAAATGTACGAGGAAGGTGACGCGTGCTCCAACTGCCCCGAGGGAACCTGCTGTGGAAGTTCTTGCGATGAACAGAACGTCGACACGCGCTTCAAAGGACTGTGCAGTGAGTTTCCGTTGCGCATTCTTTCTACAGTTCGTAAGCATGCTGACAAGCTCCTGCGAACACAAACACCCGCTATGTTAAATAAAAGATACGCTGTCGGATGTTCATTTCGTGCTCTATAGGTTCCAATCTAAAGAAATGGGACCACAAGTAATTTTTTTCAAATCAATTAAGTGCACTGAGCTGCGCTTGTTCAGGCAAAACGCTTGTCTTTCAGCAAGACTTTCCTGCAAGTTCCTATTCTTGACCATAGAATAGCATCGTTTTCGGCAGCATTGGGCCAGATAAAGAAGCCGTCTACAGAAAACAAAGTTCTTAGAACCTGGCTTGCCAGGGCCTTCGACCTGGTGCGTTTCCTGAGAGATCGCGGGATCGAAAGAAATATTGTGCGTTAAATAGTGTTTTCAGTGTTAGACGGACATCAATATTGTCGCAATCATACTTTGATGTTTCTACACTGTTCTCGTGTATAACGCTCTTTTCTTTAGTAGCGACGCGAGCATGGAGGGGCACTGCTGTTCCTCTTGCAAGTTTTTCCGATCACGCACTTATCATCGCTTTCTCGAATATTCGAAAAACGTCTTGTAAAAAAAACCACTGGCATGAAATAGACAGCTTCCGCTCAAGTTAAGAGTTGTATTGGATATCTGCGACATCAGAGCGCAGTTTACTAAGACAGGGGCTAATTAAAAGTAAAAAAAAACAATGAAAATCAGCTGAATGAGTTCATTGAAGGAACAGATGGTTTTTTTTTTTTTTTGTGAGCAACAGGAACGTTGCACCACCGAAAGGAGCATATTATAACCATTTGTATCTTTCTACGTGATTTCTGATATTCGCGTCTGCAGCGCGACTATAGCAACACCTACCACCATGGCCAACGTTTCTTGCCCCACGAGTCGGGCACAAGATTCCTGCTCCGTGACGTGCAAGTGCCATTGCCTCAATGTTCACAGTTCCTTTCCCTTTCTCAAGAACAGGGTAGCCAACTGGGCGTCTTCGCTGTCGTTCCTTTTTGCGTCGTGTGCTACATCAGTTGCTGGCGTCACCTAATCTAAACAACGTCTGTCCTTCTATGAAAGAACATTATCTTAATGCAAACGTCGCAGCTCCACCGTTCATGCATGTTGCTTGTTGGCCAGCCAACACGAGCCGGATTCGCGTGTAGTCGTTCGCGGCACCGAACACCATCGTGATGGGAAATAAAGTGTAGACAACGGGTGCATAATGCGAAAAGTCTGCAGCTGCGGCTGCCCATAGACGTGGTTCACCCGCGTTCATAACTTGTAACTTAGCAATTCTTAGAAGCTGGTTCCGTTGTCGGTGCGAATTGAAGGCTACAGTTATAGCAAAAAATGTCAAAAATGTTCCCAAGATGTTCGCAAAAATGTTCGCATTTGAGAACCATTGCATGGCTACCCTTAATCATTAGTGTGCATTGCTTTTGGCTGTAAACGCTTCCTTCAGAACCAGTGATGGCGAAGAAAGCTACATTTCTGCAAAGCCTGAACACTTAGTTTTGAATTGAAAAGTTCTGACCTTTTATTGTGCTTACGCATGGTCCATTAAAAGTTATTATTTACTTTAGATGCCGTATCTCGTAAAATTTCGAGGCCAACTGCATACGCTAACGTAGTCTCTAAACGAGCATGTAGATCCAAAACTATATACCTAAAATTGATAAAGAAGCACTTTGACACTCCTTTGGGTCCCACGGCAGCCCTGGTATAGTAAAAAATCCTTAGAGTTAGCATGTGTTCTTAAAGAAAGTCGTGTGCTTGCCAAGTAAGGATAGGCATAAAACAATTGAATTATTTTTTTGATTCATAGTTTATGGGCATCACAAACTTTTTGTAAGAGATAACGTTCATATTGCATTTTCGTTTTCTTCCCAGAGCCTACGACTCCTGAAGGTCCCAAGCCCGCCATAAACAAGAAGGGCCTCATCTGGGCGTGTCTTTTTAACAACGAGACGTCCGAATCCTGTGAGACTGTCTCCGATCCCCCAGACGTTTTCAACACCAAGCCAATGTTTGGTGGTGAGTTGTTTGATTTATTTTTCTGATTTTTTTTTGTGTGTGTGTGTGTGTGTGTGTGTGTTTCTATCGGTCGCTATATTTGTCAATTGTACCCGCGTCAACCACAGTTTCAATATGCTTGCACTTGATCTGGGGTTATGAATATCCTTCAGTTCCACTCAGTATTCATCGCATCTAACAATGTGTTGTTATCTTGTGATCCCACAGTCTAAACTGGCATGGTGGTGGCTTATCAGGTAATACATAACGTTGAACACGCAAATTGATGTTGTATATAAACATTTTATAACGTATTTCTTAGCGATGCTCCTAAAATTATGACACAGTACATCGAATAAACGTTCCCATAACAAACGAACGGCTTTTATATGCGCATAAAACTTTTTTGTTGACCGCATCTAGCCACAATCGCAAGCTCAAAAACTAGTCAATACTGAGAGTTCTTGGAGCAGTTCTTGGAGAGTATATGTACTCGATGGTACGCGACATTAACAAAGTTAGAACGTCCGTACGAGGATGTCTGCAGCTTGAGGGTCTCCTTTTATACCGCGTTTCCATTCACTATGGCATGAGCAGCATTTTAGAAATTCGCTTCTGGCAAGAGTACTATGATTAAGAAGACGGGTAAATAGCGAATGGTCTCTACAATCAATCGATCGAAGTAAAGAGCCCTCGAAGTAAAATATTTTTTTGAGCCGGGTTTGTAAATCACTTCTTTATTATACTAAATACAACCGTTATCGCCAGGAGGTCGGGACCATTTATTGTGACCACATCCGTAATATCGCTAATATTCTATAAGCACAAGTTCATTGCTTTTAGGAACTTTAGCAATATATTCATTGCCTTCATCCGCGTTAAGTTCTCAGCACGATATTCTATATGTAAACTCGCGGAGCTTTCCATGCCTTTTCAAATGTTGCATTTACTGGAGCTGCGTTTTAACGCGCCAATCGTCTGCCATCGCAGCCGGCTACTTGGAGACCGTGGTAGAGGGAGGCAATCGGGTCGAGCTCACGTTCAAGCGCATCATCAAGAGCCCGCAGTCTCCGTTCTGCATCAACATCGAGTACGCCAAGGGACCGAGCGTGGCGGGAGACCAGGCGGACGGTTCGCTGCGACTGCTCCTGACGTCGCCAGTGCTAAACCTCTTCCAGATCGACGCCGAACTTGGCGGTGACTACACGGGTTACCAGATGTACTCCTTCTCCCTGGACTTTCGCGTACCCGTCCAGGTAGGCACAACGTGGTCCCCTCGAGCAGTGCTGGTGGGACGTTTTTCGGCTTGCCGGTCGTGCTGGCTTAACTTTTACGGCGTTGTGCGGCTGTAAGCACGTTGATGACGCCAATTTGTTTCCCGTGTGATAGTAGCTGCACCTTTATGTAGGCGAAATGCAGGATCAGCCGCGTGCTTAGATTTAGGTGTATGTTAATATCCCCACGAAGCATAATCTATTGCGAAATCCCCCCCCCCCCCCCTGTAGATTGTATCATAAATATGGTTCTGGCAGTTTGCAATAGCAATAGTTTTACCATGCCACTGTCGGCAATAAGTAAAGCAGGAGCGTAGCGAAAATTTTTCCCGGGGTCAACCCTACTGTGTGTTCGTGTGTGTGCATACACGCAACCGAAATAGCAAATTTTTGGGGAGAGGTGAACCCTCTCCTCCTTGGCTATTCCCTTGACATGAAGAGATGACGATGATGATTATGATGATGATGATGATGGTTTTATTTCCACCAATACACAGTTGACGGAGGGGGTGACAATAAAAGCGATTGTCCGCTTGACTAAGTTCTCACCACCCTTATATACATAAAGCGGTAGCGGCGACAAATTAACAATATATAATACTGGAATGAATCGCAGTAGGCCAAACAATTTAAACATACTCCCGAAACAAGAATTATTGCCAGACACCTACGTGCGTTGCGTGAAATATGACAGACTTCATGACGATCTCACTGGCAATCTGTTCGGTACGTAGCGGACGACTATTAATCATCTAGTCAGTATTTCTTTTTTTTCTCCCTTTTAATTCTTACGATTGGGTGTTGTTTTGCTGAGTGAACTCCAGCATTCATGGAAGTTGCTTCAGTTTCAAATATCCCCAAAATGTTTTATACACCTTTCATCTCTTCCCGAGAGGTGTGTGTCGCATGCGGGCCAAACATATCAATATTATCATACTCTATTTTATTCAGCTTGCTCATCTTTACAATGTAATTCCATTGGGAAGTGCGACAGGCTGACAGCATAAGCACGGAACTGAAAGAACAAGAGCGAGGTTGAAAATATTGTCACGATGATCATTCGCACTAGCACCTTGTGCGCCACGGGCACATATTCTTAGAAAGGAAGCCAGTTCGTATAGAACCAGATTATAGCGCTTTCGGGCTTCCCAGTATTCCTTCCTAGTGTGTCAGTCAGTCAGAATTACTAAAAATATGCCAACTTATGTGAAACGTTTAATGCTTTCACGACCCCGGTATCGTTTGTTCGGACGCAGTATGTCTCTCTCTCCTAAGAGAGTTAATACCGAGACTTCCTCCGTTAGAAATGTACCAAGAGGATCTTAATCTATAGCCTCAATTTACTTAAGATATTTGGAACTCTTTCAAACCCCAAATATTGGTTTGACAGTTCGTAAAAGCAAATAAGAAAAAAAATTCCCGCTTACCCAATCGTTGCATCTGTTCTTCCGCAGGTTGGCTTCTCCTACTCTGTTCCAACGAACAGCTCTGCGCAGTACTTCAGCCTGTACAAGCTCGTCGTAAATCAAGGGGCTTGTTCGCAAGGCTTCTAGGGAACGTCTTTGTGACGATTCTCAGCCGCGACATTGTTTCGCATCGGACAAAACGTGTTTCACGAAGACTCTCGACTCGCGTATACGTGTTGCGCACGTCACACGCGATGAGTGTCACTTGCCTAACTCGAGGTGTTCCCGTGAGCCTGGCCTGTGTTTGCTGGATCAACACCAGAGATGAGATTGTGCCTACCCGACGCAGTATACGTCTCTGGAAGGCTGTTTGGAGGCTTCGGTCTCTCTCCACTTTTGTCGGATGTGGTCTCATCCTTTTTCGTGCAGGTGATTGTTGTTGTCTTTTTAGATATATCTGTATGTGTTAACGTACTGTGATGTCCGTAGCACTTGGTCCACGATTTTTGTGTATTGTTCGGTGCAGTCATCTATTGCGGTCATATGAATTTTAATCACTTTCAGGTGCTTCAAACGTGTAAACTTAACTACCGATCTCTAGGCCAAAGCATGTATTTTTTAAAATTTATCTGCCCCTTCATGCGTACCGTTCATCTCGCTGTTGTGACGGTGCTTAGCAACTTGACTCAGTAGTCGCTCACGAAAAGCTAGTTAGCGCATCGAAAGTGGGGCCACTAGCGAGGCTCAACTAGTACTGATCTAAAAATTAATCAGTCGCAATTTAAGTTTTGGTGTGCCTCAAGACAAAGAGAAGCATTTTTCTAATTGCATGCAATTGCGACGCTTTTCTTTTTACAGTACATTATCATTACATCCTGTGGCATCATTTATCGTGAATCCACGTTGCGTTGATACTTTTATAAAACAATTCATTAGAGATTTGCACAATAATGCACTTGTGTTAGCTATTCGCGTCTACTGTAAACAGGCGTGCTTTCTAGGCGAAACACGTCCTTGAACCAGTTTCTTTTTAATAAAACATGACGTCGTTACAACAAAGCATTGTTTTCAGAACAGTGCTTTTGAGCGTGTACCGATACTTTTTTCAACAGCTCTCGCAAGCGCATATGCGTGTTTCTATTGAGTCGTAACGTTACTGTGCGCTTCAACCGAAATATTCAGTCTCATACAAAGTGCTACTCATGCTATTTGTTACCGTTACTCTCCATTTGCAAACCAAAACGGTTTGTTTGTCGCTTTTCACACTTCAAAAGCGAGAATCGTATTCATCCCATCACGTGCGTTCAGAAGCATGTTTCACTGATCACGAGCCTAATTTCTTTTTGTACATAATCCACATTTCCATATCGTAACAAGTCCTCGAGAAAATGTGTTTTATACGCAATGCCTTTATTATTTAGCAAAGTGTTCATTTTTTGTGCATGTATGTACGGTACGTTTCATGTTGACCGAAGACGCATTTATTTGCATTGTCAACGCATTCATCCTACCATGCTCGTAAACATTCATAATCTTTTTAGATGAAAGTTATGTATCGGGACATTCAATCATTGTGCAATAAATTGTATAAATTTCCTGTATGGCTCCAACTTTTTGTGCTTCTTCGATGTAAACAAGGCTTTTAACATGCAATGCGTATGACTTTCTTTCTAAATTAGAATGCTCATTGCTGCGGTAGTGTAACGGTAATCAGCTGCTGACACGAAGGCCGCGGGTTCTATCCCGACCACGGCGGTCACATTCGTAGAGGCCCGTGCACTGGTCGCCACAACTGCGATTCGATACCCCGACCAGCAGGTTCCGCAATCGAGTACCTTAGCCACTCGACCACCGCGGCGCGGCTAAGTCTGAGGAGTCAGTCAGTCAGATAGACAGTCAGTCAGATAGACAGTCAGTCAGTCAGATAGACAGTCAGTCAGTCAGATAGACAGTCAGTCAGTCAGATAGACAGTCAGTCAGTCGGATAGACAGTCAGTCAGTCGGATAGACAGTCAGTCAGTCAGATAGACAGTCAGTCAGTCAGATAGACAGTCAGTCAGTCAGATATACAGTCAGTCAGTCAGATATACAGTCAGTCAGTCAGATATACAGTCAGTCAGTCAGATATACAGTCAGTCAGTCAGATATACAGTCAGTCAGTCAGATATACAGTCAGTCAGTCAGATATACAGTCCGTCAGTCAGATATACAGTCCGTCAGTCAGATATACAGTCCGTCAGTCAGATATACAGTCCGTCAGTCAGATATACAGTCCGTCAGTCAGATATACAGCCCGTCAGTCAGATATACAGCCCGTCAGTCAGATATACAGCCCGTCAGTCAGATATACAGCCCGTCAGTCAGATTGACAGTCAGATAGACAGTCAGTCAGTCAGTCATACAGTCAGATAGACAGATAGACAGTCAGATAGACAGATAGACAGTCAGTCAGTCAGATAGACAGATAGACAGTCAGTCAGTCAGAGAGACAGACAGACAGACACAGACAGGCAGATTGATTGATTGATTGATTGACAGACAGATTGATTGATTGATTGACAGACAGATTGATTGATTGATTGACAGACAGATAGATAGACTGATAGATAGACAGAGAGACTAATTGATTGATTGATTGACAGATAGATAGACTGATAGATAGACAGACAGACTGATTGATTGATTGATTGACAGATAGATAGATAGACAGGCAGACTGATTGATTGATTGACAGACAGATAGACAGACAGACTGATTGATTGATTGATTGATTGACAGACTGAGAGAAGACAGACTGATTGATTGATTGATTGATTGATTGATTGATTGATTGATTGATTGATTGATTGATTGATTGATTGATTGACAGATAGATAGATAGATAGATAGATAGATAGATAGATAGATAGATAGATAGATAGATAGATAGATAGATAGATAGATAGATAGATAGATAGATAGATAACAATGCTTCGCACTTCAAACACACAGCCATATGCAAGACCATTGTAAAACATGATCCAAGCCATTCGAGTGAAGTGAAAGTGCCTGGTTGACAGCCAAAGCCGGCGTAACTTCGCATGTAGGCGTCCCGAAAAGCGTAATGTGTGAGCTCGTCAGAGCGCCCAGCCGTTTGGCTTGGAGGCGCTGTGCGTCGTTATTTATTCGCGGCTAATCTCCTCGAGTAGCGCATCCAACGCAACCGATGCTCCCGGCCGAATGGCATTTGTCTCGTCTCACAGCCACAGGCAAGGCGCCTACCGTCTTCGCAGGTGGGCGCTAGGTATATCTAAGTATCGCCTGCGTAGGCTTCGTTTGCTGACCGTTTGCATATCGCATTGGATAACAGTGTCGCTCTCAGCTAGGAAATAATACGTGAGTACAGCGTGTATTTTCTATTTAAACGTTCTTGCATAAATTGCGAAAAAAAAAAAAGCTGAGGTCTCTTGATTTTATCGGAGTAAAGGGAAGTAATGCAAAAAGGAAAATCAGACAACGAACACGATACAGATAGACACAGAACTTTATTGGGTCCTGAAAAAACGCTGCTTCTTTTGAGCAACGCCTCGGGGTGCTTTTCTGGACATTGTTGATTTGCGCCATGTTGTCGAATTCCGCCGTTAATTGATGCTAATTAGCCAAGTGAGCTGCTGCAAGCTCACTGATTGGCTTAAAATGCCACCATTACGAAATTTGACAATATGGCGGAATTAGACAGTGTCCAGAATAGCACACCCGGACCACTCCCACGTGAGAACAAGGAGGCCTAACCTCACCGCCACATGGTGGGCTCTCTGGACAGCCCGTAGTTGTGGTAGTAACTTGGAACTTCGTGAGGCAGAGTTCGATTCCTGTATGTATGCCAACTTGGGTCCCGTAACTAGAGGCACCGCGTTAGCATATGTTCAATTTTAGTAATCTCGCTACAGCCATGAAGAGACACAACAGACTCTGATGACACGATGCTGAGGAAATATAGATTTGGATATGACCTGGTCTGGAGAATCGACGCTCTTACCTAAAGAGACAGAACAAAGGGCGCCACATGGCTGTCACACGTTCCCGAATAATTTGTCCCTTTAGCGTACAGTGCAATTAATCGCAGACAGTGTATGATCGACAAGCCGCTACTGCTGCGCCCTTCTTGCATACAAAACACTAATTACCCCAAACGTAGGATAATTTTACAATGACGAAACAAAAGGCAAATTGGTAGGCGTGACACTAAGAGATAAGAAGACAGATGACTGGGCCGTATAATAGATAGGGGCAACCGATATGCTAGTTGATAAGATAAAATAAGATACCTGGGCGAGTGACATCATAAGGACGACAAATAGCGCCGGTGGTTAGGTAAATCGACGGAATAGATACAAAGGATTAGTAAATGAAGCCAAGGCTATTGAAGGATTAGACGGTGGGGTGCTATAAAATGAAATGCATACTCTAAAGGTGATCGCCTCGGCAGCAAAATATGAGGGTACATTTGCAGGTAATCAGCAGGACAGGGTAAATTGAAGGTCCTTATAAAAGAGGCCTCCCAGTTACAATGGCGCAGTGGATGAACGGAGACTAAAGAACGTGGATTTTTGCAAAAACGGTGTTTACTTCGTTTTAACAACTCGCTCGTGCACTTCCGAAAGTCGAACCTACACAGACGCTGATGAGCTACGGGCGAAACTTTGTGTCGCAGATCGAATTGTTGTGAGAGCGTGTGGACTGCCTAGCAAGAGAGTACTCCAAGTCATAGTCTGAGGAGTTCGCTGTTATGCATGAAACATTTTGAATAGTCTCGCGATAGGATATTTCCCGCACAACTGTGTACCATCGGAATATGCAGAATATAGCGCAACATCCTTTTTTGCCTCCGTGATAAAATCATCACTTGTTAGAGCTGCTATCAAAATACACAAAGAGAACAAAACGGGAAACGTGTGCTAGACGCGCATTGAAAAAAAGTTTGTTTTTTTTTTTGTCTTAACACCTTTGCATGCGCATTTCCACCTACCTGAAATAATAAAATGTCGTAGGGCTAACACATCTGGTAATGAAATACGTGTTCAGCTTAATTGGCCAAGACGTGCTGTTTTAGTGCCCGCTCCAGCTAATTAGCATAGCCGCGCTCACTCAGTTCAGCGTCGCAAGCTCCTGCCCCCGTCATATTGACACTTGGTACTTGGGCGTAACGTGTCAATGGCTGTCATGAATTGCGGCAACGTTTACTCTTCACTTTTACCTGCTGTTAAGCGCACGCTATACGGTCAATCTATCGTGGTAACTTTGTTTCGGGGGATTGCGAGAACCCCCAAACGGGGAGCCACAGCATGCTAACCGGCTCATACTGCGTCTGAAGTTTTTATTTCTCGTTTACCGCCTGATATGTCTGCCGGGCCTTTATAAACAAGGTTGCCACGGAGATCGCACATGTGATGAGGGTAAAGTGTAGAGCCGGAACATTGTTCAAGAACGCTTGCAACATTAATACACACGCTGTAAAATAGTCGCACTGTGTATCCTCTATCGAAAACTTTTATCCGCAATCACGCTTTCTGCTTCAAAAAAGTGTCCTCGATTGACTGATATGTAGTGTTCAACGTCCCAAAACCACTATATGACTATATGAGACACCGTAGTGGAGGGCTTCAGAAGTTTGGCCACCTAGGTTTTTTTTTTTTTTTTAACGTGCACCCAAATCTGAGCTCACGGAAAAAAGTGTCCTCATTACGAGATTCAACACACATTCACTTCATCAGACGCTCAGTCAAAGGAAAGCCCCGGATGCGACCACTGATGCGATTACACGCCCAATGAGGATGAGTATTTTGTTACCACATGCCGGCGCTGATACTCCTCGCGTAGACAGGCACACAATATTAAACAATCCTTTAAGCTTGCGCATTCGATTTCAAAATTATGCATTACGCTAACGAGAACCTCTGCGTAACGAAAACCTGCGGGCCAACGCCACCGTGACATCTCAGTGAACGTATGGCTGTTGAACGCGCTGCAAGACATACGGGCAACAATAAACTCTGGCGGGCATCACGCATTTATTGCTCCTTGCTACAAAAAAAAAACAAAAAAATCATTGATCAGACAAGCGTGATCTATGCTTTGCAAGCTCGAGGTTGTGGCGGCCGGAATTCACCGTGAATACGAAAGAATTTGACAGGGCCTGATCGCACGCCGTGGTACCACGTACCGGTGACATTTGTTCGGTGTACTTGCATCTTATCGAGCCCGTCGGCTCTGCAAGGTAGGTCAAACGTATCGCGACAAGTCGGTGGCGTAATTGCCAGGTGTGTTTGCAATTGCACTTCCTGATCGTGCGACTGGCTGGTAAGCGCAATGTTTGCGCTTCAACTTATCTCATTCCCTCTCTCATTCTTCTGTTTCATACTTTTCATTCTCCGCTTCACCATTCCGCAGTGCATGGCTACAAGTCACATTTATCTCTTGGTTACCGAGCGTATACCTTTCGCCATTCCTATTATCTCGCTCTTTATCTAACTGGTTCAATATTCTTGCGCTCTTGGTCAAACAACAGTCCAGTATTTTGAGGATGCGAAAAGAAAGATGCACTTAAACAAAATTTAGTGCAGCATTTCGA